TGGAACTCACTCCCTACTGAATTGAAAAGCTGTCCAACTTTTACATCATTCAAAATCAATACTAAAAAGTACCTAATTTCATCTTCATAGTTTTTTCACTTTTTGCCTTAAAATTGCACTGTATCAATTGCTACCCAATCTCCCAACCTTTATGTTCCCAATTTGAACATCTTTACCATTGTGATCATTGCTGTTTTCTTATATGTGCTGCCAATCTGTTGTATGGTGTTTATAAATCTTGTTTATCTGTATCTTTTGCTACCCAGTCTCTCAATCTTTATGTACCCAATCTGAACATGTTTACCATTGTGATCATTGCTGTCTTATATGTGCTGTCAATCTGCTGTATGGTGTCTATTAACCTTGTTTAAATTACTAATCAAGCTGTCAATGTAATTAATCAGAGCTTTAATATAAGAATGTGCTTTAATATACCTACTTATCTCTCTCATCTCATTTTTCTCTTGTAATGTATCTTTATCATTTATCAATTCTGATTGAAATTACCTACTTAAAATTATCTGCTAGATTAAGGACCTGCCCGAAACGCTGTGCGTACTAGAGGCTTTACAAGAATGTAAATACTGTACTATCCAATGTATTCACAAACCCAATGTACCTTCTTGTATATAAATAAATAAATAAATAAATAAATAAATAAATAAATAAATAAATAAATAAATCTGTGTGAAATAGTTTAAATGCATTTATTTGATATTCAGCTAATAGTTCTCTATTTTCTACATTCATCCACGTTTCGGTAAGTGCAATTATATCTATTTTTTCTGTGCTGACAGGAGCATTTAATTCATTAATTTTATTTCTTAGACTTCTACTGTTAGTGTAATATACCCTAAGTGAATTGTTATTTTGAGGCCCTTTTCTTTCCCTGATCATTTTGCCAATTCTTTTCTCCCACGAACACATACTTTTATTACCTCCTTCCTCCAAATCAATTCCCATACCACTATCTACTAACAGTTTAAACCCAAACAAACACCTCTAACCACTGGTTCCAACGAGTTCGCAACAGCAACAACCCCAGCCTTCGATAGATGCACCCCATCACGAGCATACATTTCATTTCTTCCATAGAAGTGTTCCCAGTTGTCTATGAAAGATATTGCATTTGATTTGCAATATCTTTCCAGCCGGCAATTGACACCAAGTGCCCTCGACATCCATTCATTTCCCACTCCCTTTCTTGGAAGAATGCCACATATGATCGGGATTCCTCCCTTGCTCCTAATTCAATGGCTGTCCTGAATCTCTGTATTAGTTCCTCACTCCTAACTCGCCCAACATCATTACCCCCTGCACTAATACAAATAATGGGTTTCTTCCCATTTCCCATCATAATATCATTCATGTTTCCAACAATATCACCAATTCCAGCTCCTGGATAGCAAACCCTTAATCTGTTCCCCCTATCTCTGGCACAAAATGTTCTGTCTAAATACCTCACCTGGGAATCTCCCACAACCAAAATTCGCTTCGGTACCTCCTTAACTTTCTGAGCAGCCTGAGGGGCCTGCGCTCCGCTGCTCCTCGCTGATTTCCTCGCTGCAGGCGCACCACAGCACTCGTCCTCCAACACGGCAAATGAATTTGCTGTCCTTAGGGCGTCTGTAGGCAGCCTTGTCAAGGTCTTCTTAAGACCCCTGTCCTTCACGACTCAAACAGAGTTAAAGTAACTTTGGGATTACCGGAGGAGTGTCTTATGATCCCACCTTGCCTAGCTTTGTTTACATTTGCCACTTAATTGCAGGGTGTTGCAAAAAGTGTTAGCGTAACCGATAGAAGGAATGGAGACGTATTATAACCTGCCTGGATGTTGTTTGCACAGTAATTGTATTGCAGAATACTGCAGGGGGTTTCTTTATTGCAATCTTGTGTCATCAGAGAGCACACCATTGTTCAGCTAGTTCATTTATCCAGACCAAAGCGACAACAGAATGGAGACTGTTGTTATTCTTGATTGGCTATTGAAAATCTGTTTTAAAATATGTCACTGAGTGGACATTAACGTAACATAATGCTTGCTGTTGTAATTAATGACAATGCAATTAATTACAACAGCAAGTAGTTCTTGTATTTTTGTAGCAGACGAAGTTCTTGTTGATTAATTTTGATTGAAATGTTGTGTCGTCAGTGGGCACACCTGTGTTCAGGTTAGTGTCGTCAGTGGGCACACCTGTGTTCAGGTTAGTGTCGTCAGTGGGCACACCTGTGTTCAGGTTAGTGTCGTCAGTGGGCACACCTGTGTTCAGGTTAGTGTCGTCAGTGGGCACACCTGTGTTCAGGTTAGTTCAGTATTCAGCTTCGCGGCAATTGACAGTCGTCGTTGCTACACTCAATTGTTAATTAGATGTATTTAACGTGCCACTGAGAGACATTAATGTAACGTAAAATCGTTGTTTTAGTAGTCTAGTCCCTTTGTCAATAAACTTGTTATTGTTACAGAAAACAGTCTTTATGTCAACCCTTCCAAATAATTGTTCCACATATGTTCTGCATTGCACTTTTGTTCCAGTAATGTGATCTTTTAATGAAGGCCCGCTTCTGGGAATTCGATCCTGATTCATAGCGCCACACATCATATTAAATTTTGATGTGAGAACTAGTGACCTACCTGTTATATTGTACTCGCATTGGCAGAGATCCACAACTTTGTGATAGGGATTTCACCCTAAGTAAATCCCGGCGGTTGCTCCCGCCTTCCTATGGTCTCTTGCCTAAAGAAAATTTTCTGCTATTACAACACTTAATATGTTGGCTAAGCAATCCCTTCTGTTTGAGGTCCACCTCCTAGAGAGGTAAGTGTAGGAAAAATCTCACAGTGGATATAAATAGGAGCTGCCTCGAATGGGGCTAATAGGCCTTCAGTAGATAGCTTCATTCTTATGATCTTATGTTCTTATACTTGGTCCACTCCTTTTTCTTATATATATTAATGATCTTATAAATACCAATTTAATGAAGCCAATTCTATTTGCTGATGATACAACCTTCATTTTCTCACATGCTAACCCACTTATTCTAAACGACATTGTGAATACTGAACTTAAGTCTGTTAGTGGTTGACTGCTAACAAACATATCCTTAGCATCGATAAGACATTTTAGTTAGTTTAGTTCATTTATTATGCACCCCAATCTCATCTGGTGGGTGGTAGTGGAAAAGGTTACAGAAGCACATAATGGGCTCAGGAATTAGTTCATTTACAAAACAAAATTCATTTACAAAACAAAATTCATTTACAAAACAAAATTCATTTACAAAACAAAATTCATTTACAAAACAAAATTCAATCCTAATATCGTCACATCAAAAATGGGCTTGAGACCGACTTTACATTTTGTTTGGTAACAAGTCCATCAAATTAATCAGAGAATTAACAATACACAAACTGCCAGAGTAATTTCGCTTCCCATCTAACCAGCGAAGTTGGGAAGCCATCTTGGTGTTCACATTCACAGCAAACAAAATTTCCATTGCCATTTACAAAATATTACTAAAAAGGTTTTTAAACAGTAGCCATTTTCTCCATAGTCAGATACTATATTCCTCGCCCTGTCCTAGTTACTGTGTTATTTACTTAGTTATTCATATCTCACCTATTTTATGTGTCATACCATAGGTGAGATATCATACCATATTGATATGTTATGATATGGAAATTAATTATATGTTCATGAATAAAGCATTCTATTTGTCTTAAGACACTCTAAAGCAGTATGTGTCTTTGTCTTGCAGTCATTAAAAAAGATACTAGTGGGGCACTACTGCAAAAAATTAGGAGAGCCACAGAGGTCGTAAACTGCAAGAAACGGTCCCAGGCTTATTTTGTATAGTACGAGAAAGCAGTGTTTTCTCATGTTCTTATATCCTACAAGACGATTGGTAAAATAAATGCAAATTATTTAGTTACTTTATTAAACAATTAGTGTTAAACTGCACATTTAAAGTACAAACGTATACTTATACTTTTGTACCTATACGAAAAATATACTTTATCTTTAATAAATTTTCAAATTTATCTTGAAAACTCTTTACCAGAGAGTATGAGATTGTGTACTTTCTTACAGACGCTGCACAATTGCTGGCTAATTGAAATTTCAAAAACGTTATTGGATACTTTATCTAGAGACATTCTTTAATTACACAAAAAATCGAATGTACGATACAGACTTTATAGGGTCGGAAAATGAGCGGCAAAGAGCCATCATAGAGTTGGTAAATGAGCCCCAAAAAGCTATTGTAGAAACAGTGAGTGAACGACAAAGATTCTTTGCTGTGTCGTTGAGTAACCTCCATAAGGTCTTCAAAGAGTGTGTAACTGAGTCTGTAATTGAGCACAAGAGAGCCACGATATTACTTGTGAATGAGCGCCCTTTGACATTCGTAGGACTACTGAGTGAATGCAATGGGGCCACTGTAGTGCAGGTCAGTGAGTCGCAGGGCACCACCGTCAGGTCGGCAGGTAAGTGACTGGGAACCATCGTAGTGCCTGTTTGTGACATTCCTTGGTGCCAGGCGAGGCCAGTTTGTGAGCGCCTTGGTGCCATCGTAATATCATATAGTGAGCACCAGGAAGACATCGCATGGTCAGAATGTATGCGCCAACAGATCCTCATAAGGCTATTATTATATCTGTGCCTGTGATCTATCATAAAGCCGGTAAGCATGAGGCTGGAACTTATCGTAAGGCCGGCATGCGAACGCCAGGAACCCACCCTGAGGCCAGTAAGTGAGCCCCTGGAACTCACCCTGAGGCCAGTAAGTGAGCCCCAGGAACCCACCCTGAGGCCAGTAAGTGAGCCCCAGGAACCCACCCTGAGGCCAGTAAGTGAGCCCCAGGAACCCACCCTGAGGCCAGTAAGTGAGCCCCAGGAACCCACCCTGAGGCCAGTAAGTGAGCCCCTGGAACTCACCCTGAGGTCAGTAAGTGAGCCCCAGGAACCCACCCTGAGGCCAGTAAGTGAGCCCCTGGAACTCACCCTGAGGTCAGTAAGTGAGTCGCAAGAACCCACCTCGAGGAGAGTAAGCGAGTCCCTGGAACCCACCCTGAGGCCAGTAAATGAGCCCCAGGAACCCACCCTGAGGCCAGTAAGTGAGTCGCAATAACCCACCTCGAGGAGAGTAAGCGAGTCCCTGGAACCCACCCTGAGGCCAGTAAGTGAGTCGCAAGAACCCACCTCGAGGCCAGTAAGTGAGCCCCAGGAACCCACCCTGAGGCCAGTAAGTGAGTCGCAGGAACCCACCCTGAGGCCAGTAAGTGAGCCCCAGGAACCCACCCTGAGGCCAGTAAGTGAGTCGCAAGAGCCCACCTCGAGGAGAGTAAGTGAGTCCCTGGAACCCACCCTGAGGCCAGTAAGTGAGTCGCTGGAACCCACCCTGAGGCCAGTAAGTGAGCCCCAGGAACCCACCTCGAGGCCAGTAAGTGAGCCCCTGGAACCCACCTCGAGGCCAGTAAGTGAGCCCCTGGAACCCACCTCGAGGCCAGTAAGTGAGCCCCTGGAACCCACCTCGAGGCCAGTAAGTGAGTCGCAAGAACCCACCTCGAGGCCAGTAAGTGAGCCCCTGGAACCCACCTCGAGCCCAGTAAGTGAGTCGCAGGAACCCACCCTGAGGCCAGTAAGTGAGTCCCTGGAACCCACCCCGAGGCCAGTAAGTGAGTCGCAAGAACCCACCTCGAGGGCAGTGAGTGAGTCGCAGGAACCCACCTCGAGGCCAGTAAGTGAGTCGCAGGAACCCACCTCGAGGGCAGTGAGTGAGTCACAGGAACCCACCTCGAGGGCAATGAGCGAGTCGCAGGAACTCACCCTGAGGCCAGTAAGTGAGTCGCAGGAACCCACCTCGAGGCCAGTAAGTGAGTCGCAAGAACCCACCTCGAGGCCAGTAAGTGAGCCCCTGGAACCCACCTCGAGCCCAGTAAGTGAGTCGCAAGAACCCACCTCGAGGGCAGTGAGTGAGTCGCAAGAACTCACCTCGAGGCCAGTAAGTGAGTCGCAAGAACCCACCTCGAGGCCAGTAAGTGAATCGCAAGAACCCACCTCGAGGCCAGTAAGTGAGTCGCAAGAACCCACCTCGAGGGCAGTGAGTGAGTCGCAGGAACTCACCCTGAGGCCAGTGAGTGAGTCGCAAGAACCCACCTCGAGGGCAGTGAGTGAGTCGCAGGAACTCACCTCGAGGCCAGTAAGTGAGTCGCAGGAACTCACCTCGAGGCCAGTAAGGGAGCCACAGGGACCCAGCGTGAGGCCAGCACGTGAGCCCCAGGGACCCAGCGTGAGGCCAGCACGTGAGCCCCAGGGACCCAGCGTGAGGCCAGTACGTGAGCCCCAGGGACCCAGCGTGAGGCCAGTACGTGAGCCCCAGGGACCCAGCGTGAGGCCAGCACGTGAGCCCCAGGGACCCAGAGTGAGGCCAGTACGTGAGCCCCAGGGACCCAGCGTGAGGCCAGCACGTGAGCCCCAGGACATGAGCGAAAAGCCTGTAAATGTGTACCATGGAATCATAGTTGAGGAGGTATTCCAGCGCCAGGGACCCACTGCATGACCAGTAAGCGAGCACCAAGGACCCATCATAAGACCGGAAAGAGAGTGCAAGGGAATCATTGGTGTGCTGGCAAATGAGCGCCAAGGGTCCGTCGTAGGGCCAATAAATGAGTACCTGGGATCCATCTTAGGCCTAGTGAGCACGCTCCAGGGAAAAATCATAGGACCGGCGATTGAGCCCCAGGGACCAGTCACAGTGCCAAGCCGCCAAGAAACCATGCTAAGGTGCCATATCGTGGTGCCAGCGAGTGAGTGCCAGTGAGCCATTGTAGGGCCGCTGAGCGCTGCGGAGTCAATGCCGGGCCTGTTAGTGATCGTCTCCCAGCATGATGTTATCAAACCTAAAAAATAATTAGAATATGTCATAATATTGCTAAATCCAATAAAAAAAATCCAATTGAATAATACATATTAAATGTACATGTGAACACTCGGTATACTTGTGCAATATACCATTTAAATTTTTTTAAATTTTGCCCCGAGGGGCGAGTTTATTGGGCAGCGCCACTCATCTTATGAGTGGACACACCGCCATAGCAGCATGTACAAATAGAGTATTTCATTGAGTGAATCGGGGTACTGGTGCCAAACAGTGTATGTAAATGTTGGCAACTATGGCAATATCAGTGACTCAAAGATCGACCACAGTTCAATGTAGGATAATTGGATAGTGAATACAGTCAACATCTGTTATTCAACTATATCAAAATGCGCCAGTAAAAACGTGACTGGAAAGTTATATTATAATTTAGTTTGTAATGGCAATAAACTTTAAATATGAATGCCAAAATAAAAATTGATAGGTACATAAACAATATTTTTCAAGACATGAAGGAAATTCACGAATTTGTCTCAAGTGTGACCTTCAGGCCTCAACACGGAAGATTTGTCTCAAGTGTGACCTTCAGGCCTCAACACGGAAGATTTCACTTACGCCTTTGAAATAAATTAAGCTCTGATGGCCAATTGAGCATAAAATAAACAATTATAATACTGTAGAAAACAGTATATGGTTAAATAAACATGACTAAGATTATTACAAGTATTTGAACATTTCTTAATAGTGAATATGCTAAGCATTGCAGTGTTGCCAACTCAAATTTCCGTTTTACATCCACTATGTCATGTGAAACACAATAAATAATAATAATAATAATAATAATAATAATAACGACGTTTCGGTCCGTCCTGGACCATTATCAAATAGAATGTGATAACACAATCGACTTGATAATGCTATTGGTGATGATAGCACTGTGATGATGAACTCCAATAACATAGCTGAAGATATTTCTACACCATACACCATAAAATGGTCCGAGACCATTATCAAGTCGTGTAAAGACGACCATGGTCCAAAACCTCGTGTTTTCTTCATTTCCTGATGTTCAGTGCTATTATTTATATTCTCATAAACTGTGCCGGAGGATTAGTAACGTGTATTTTAGATATCTATCTGAAAATCTAGATCTTTTAAATGCAATTTTTTAATGTTAAACTGAAAACACTTTTGCAAATATCTCTAATGGTACAATTTGGTTAAATCTTCTACAAGCATCCAAGATCCTAATAAAACCATCTTGATTTACATCTAACATTTTAATAATATTTTCTGATATCCAGACGTAACTAAAACCATCTACATCTAATTGATACTCAATCCTCACATCTGAAATTGAATAAACGACGACGTTCCAAGTCCGTCCTGAACCATTATACCACAAATAACGAGGTAAGCCAATTTGATGAGGACAATAAACAATTGTAAGGTACTAACCTGCCACAGTAAGTGCAGACTGAGGCACGTAGCGAGGCCTGGAGAGATGGCGCCAGTCCTGGTCAACTACGTCAGCTGCCTCACTCCTCCTGGCTCCTGGGATGCTGTCATCGCTCTTTGTAACGTGATCTTCTTCCTCCTCCATCATGGTTAACTTAGCCTACTTTGTGCTCGAGTGATGAAGATTAAGCCATCCAAGAGCTGACACGGGCACGAGTAGACCGTACCTGGAGATTGTGCCCCTTCCCTCGACTTATATAGCAGTGTGACACCTCACCTTGTAATAAGTGTCTCCATTTCACCCCTAACTGTTCGCCTCTTTTAAGAATGTATATTCTCAAGAATTCCTGGAATCAGAACATAAGAATACATTGCAGAAGGCCTATTGATCCATAAGTGAAGCTGCAGTTTATTGAAAATTGCATTAAGGGTCTTCATTTAGGTAAGCTAAATTGCGTTTAGGATCCCGGTAGAACAGTTGGGTTTGTTGTCAACTCAATCGAGAATGCCGGGTTCGACTTCTGGGTGGAACAGAAATGGTTGGACACATTTCTTATTACTTAATGTACCTGTTCAAGCAGTAATTAGGTACCCATGAGTTAGTGAGCCTGTCGTGGGGGTTGTTGCATCCTGGGGGAGGTCAGTAATATGACCTGGGGGGGGGGGGGAGGGGACCTCGATGATTGATTGATGAAGATTAAGCCACCCAAAAGGTGGCACGGGCATGAATAGCCCGTAAGTGGTGGCCTTTTGAGCCATTACCAGTATCAAGTATCAAGAGCTGATACTGGAGATCTGTGGAGGGGACCTTGATATAAGCCTAACGTGTTGATTGATTGATGAAGATTTGTATAAACTCACCCAGTATATACCCATACCTGTTCCCATCCAGTACCTGTCCACACCTGTTCCCACCCAGTACCTGTCCACACCTGTTCCCACCCAGTACCTGCCCCACACCTGTTCCCACCCAGTACCTGTCCATACCTGTTCCCACCCAGTACCTGCCCCACACCTGTTCCCACCCAGTACCTGCCCATACCTGTTCCCACCCAGTACCTGTCCACACCTGTTTCCACCCAGTACCTGCCCCACACCTGTTCCCACCCAGTACCTGCCCCACACCTGTTCCCACCCAGTACCTGCCCCACACCTGTTCCCACCCAGTACCTGCCCACACCTGTTCCCACCCATTACCTGCCCCCACACCTGTTCCCAACCAGTACCTGCCCCACACCTGTTCCCACCCAGTACCTGCCCCACACCTGTTCCCACCCAGGACCTGCCCACACCTGTTCCCACCCAGTACCTACCCCCACACCTGTTCCCAACCAGTACCTGCCCCACACCTGTTCCCACCCAGTACCTGCCCCACACCTGTTCCCACCCAGTACCTGCCCCACACCTGTTCCAACCCAGTACCTGCCCACACCTGTTTCCACCCAGTACCTGCCCATACCTGTTCCCACCCAGTACCTCCCCACACCTGTTCCCACCCAGTAACTGCCCCACACCTGTTCCCACCCAGTACCTGCCCCACACCTGTTCCCACCCAGTACCTGCCCACACCTGTTTCCACCCAGTACCTGCCCATACCGGTTCCCACCCAGTACCTCCCCACACCTGTTCCCACCCAGTAACTGCCCCACACCTGTTCCCACCCAGTACCTGCCCCACACCTGTTCCCCACCCAGTACCTGCCCCACACCTGTTCCCACCCAGTACCTGCCCCACACCTGTTCCCACCCAGTACCTGCCCCACACCTGTTCCCACCCAGTACCTGCCCCACACCTGTTCCCACCCAGTACCTGCCCCACACCTGTTCCCACCCAGTACCTGCCCCACACCTGTTCCCACCCAGTACCTGCCCCACACCTGTTCCCACCCAGTACCTGCCCCACACCTGTTCCCACCCAGTACCTGCCCCACACCTGTTCCCACCCAGTACCTGCCCCACACCTGTTCCCACCCAGTACCTGCCCCACACCTGTTCCCACCCAGTACCTGCCGTGATCTTTACTGAACCTAAACTTTTCCAATTAATATCCTTTTTTTTTGCTCTGCTTTGTGTTGACATACTTAACACCTTATTAATATATTTTATGTTTAAAAATATTACTCTCATTCTATTGCGGCATAATTGAGGCAGTTGATCATAAAAAGGTCTGTGACGTTGTGTACCTTGACTTTAGCAAAGCTCTTGATACAATTCAACTTGAAAGATTAATTTAAAAAAAATAGAGGCTCGTGTGATTGGGGGGTAATATATTAAGTTGGATTAGGGCATGGCATATAACAGAGGAAACAGAGAATTGGTTTAAATGGAGTTAAGTCAGAGTGGAAACTGTTGTAAGTGGAGTGCCTCAAGGCTCTGTCCATGGACCTCTGTTATTTATATTATATATCAATGATTTAGTTCCAAGTCTGAACAGCAAAATTTACCGACGATACAAAAAAATCTAGAAATAAATTAACTAAGAAGAAGACTCAAAATCACTTCTAAACGAACTAGATACGAATTTGAAATGGTCTAAAGGCTGACAAATGCAGCTTAATGTTGACAAATGTGAGGTGAACAAACGGGATATTAATGGGATACAAAAAATATCAACACACAATAGAAATCGAAACAATGGGTATAAATTTTATAAGTTTAGATTTAGGAAAGAACTGGGTAAATATTGGTTCGGTAACAGTATTGATTTGAGTGATTTTTGGATTGATGATTGATGAAGATTAAGCCATCCAAAAGGTGGCACGGGCATGAGTAGCCCGTAAGTGGTGGCCTTTTGGAGCCATTACCAGTATCAATAGCTGATACTGGAGATCTGTGGAGGTGCGACTGCACCCTGCGTGTGATTTGTGGAACCAATTACCGCGTAACATAATAGAAGTAAGATCCATTAATTGTTTCAAGCATAGGTTAGATATATATATATATATATATATATATATATATATATATATATATATATATATATATATATATATATATATATATATATATATATATATATATATATATATATATATATATATATATATATATATATATATATATATATATATATATATATATATATATATATATATATATATATATATATATATATATATATATATATATATATATATATATATATATATATATATATATATATATATATATATATATATATATATATATATATATATATATATATATATATATATATATATATATATATATATATATATATATATATATATATATATATATATATATATATAAATGAGATTGGGTGGATATACATATTACATGCCTCGTATGGGCCAATAGGACTTCAGCAGTTACCCTCATTCTTATATTCTTACGAATGTGATATAAACAGGAGCTGCCTTGTACGGCCTAAAGGCCTTCTACAGTTACCTTCCTTCTTATGTTCTGATGTCATTCATTAGCTCCCGATCCTTCATTAGTATAATCGTAGAAGCTACATTTTATCTCAGAAACTCTGTCCCTAATACTCCGTAAGTTCAATTTCATCTTCAATACCTTAATCATTTGCATTTCTTTGGTATCCTAAATTAATTCGCATGGCTTAGTTTTGTACCTTCTCCAACTTGTGGAGAATGATGATGAAGATTAAGCCACCCAAAAGGTGGCACGGGCATGAATAGCCCGTAAGTGGTGGCCATTTTAAGCCATTACCAGTATCAAGAGCTGATACTGGAGATCTGTGGAGGTGCGAATGCACCCTGCATGATGGGAGATGTCTCCCTTGTGAATGTGTTAAGATGAAGATGAAGCCACCCAATAGGTGGCACGGGCATGAATTGGTAAGTGGTGGCCCTTTTGAGCCATCACCAGTATCAATAGATGATACTGGAGATCTGTGGAGGTGCGATTGCACCCAGCGTGACGGGAGATGTCTCCCGTGTTTTAAACAGATGAAGAAGATGAAGATGAAGCCACCCAAAAGATGGCACGGGCATGAATAGCTCGTAAGTGGTGGCCCTTTCGAGCCATCACCAGTATCAAGAGCTGATACTGGAGATCTGTGGAGGTGCAAGTGCACTCAGCGTGACGGGAGATGTCTCCCATGAATGTGTCCAAGATGACGATTAAACCATCGAAAAGGTGGCACGGGCATGAATAGCCCGTAAGTGGTGGCCCTTTTGAGCCATTACCAGTATCAAGAGCTGATACTGGAGATCTGTGGAGGTGCAACTGCACCCTGCGTAACGGGAGATGTCTCCCGGACCAAGTGGTGACCAAATGGTGTTGTGGAGAAGTTGGAAAACGCCAACTAATATTAAAAAGAAACCGATAAAAAGACAACTGCCAATTTGGCTTAAAAAATGCATTAAAGATACACTTATTAGTGTAAGTGTACATGCAACTTACATGCATGTACATGATTGATACATGCAGCTCTTGACAAAAATTAGTACCCTGTTGATTTATTTGTTGACCTACGTAAGGTTTTTGACACTATTAACCACAATAACTTTCTTTTAAACTTCCAACACTACAGAGTCAGAGGTCACTCCCTCCAATACCAACAATCTTACGTCAGTGACAGAATGAACTATGTCTCTGTGAATGATTCCAATTCTCCCACCCTACCCATTAACATTGGTATTCCACCGGGCAGTATACTTGGCCTTCTACTCTTTATCATCTACACTAACGACCTTCCGAATGTCTTTTAACATCTCAAGCCCATATTAATTGCTTTTTGACACAACCTTAATTTTGTCCAGTCCTAACCCTCTTGTTCTGAATGACACAGTGAGTACTTAAATAAATAAAGTAAATCTTTGTCTAACAGCTAATGATTGATTGATATGGTGACACATAAATCAATCATTGGAAGTTACACAAAGATTTACTTTATTAAGTTTAGTATTCACACAGTTAATGAAGACAAAACTAAGTTCGAATGAAGAAGTCGGAGGCCTATTATATTGAAAATAAATGGTAAAAAAATAGAGAGTTAAGATATATAAATATTTAGACACATATGTTGGGTATACCCGTGAGAGTTTGGAAGCTGAGATGAACAGACTGTTGGGCCAATATCGGAAGAGATTACAAACTCTGAAGGCCTTGGCATGAAGTGGAAAGGAAGTGGGAGTGTCTGTGCTTTGTTGTTGTTTCAGATTTAACTACTCAGAACGAAGTGTCCATGTAGCACGGGCTATGGTGAGCCCGTAATTGTGTTCGGTTATTCGCGATAACCTTGTTTCTGTGATATTTGGGTCTAAGTTTAAAATGGAGGAGGAGATTCCTCCTTTTTCCCTGTTTATTTATCGCTTCTCTTTTAGTGCACTGGTTTTAGTCTTGTTTTATAAACA